CTACTCTTCTCTTTAACATAAATATCACGGAAATCTGAGCCTCTGTCCAATTTACCTTGCAGAAAGTACTATCTTTGCCCTGGTTCTCATCTCAGTAAACTTCTAGGAGTCTCAGCAATACTGTATTTTAGAGATTCCACAAACCTTTTGTTCTAGTCTGTTTTTTGTGCATGTGGTACTGGGGAGTGAATGCAGGGCCTTTACACTGAGCTACATTCCCAGTCTTTTTATATTTTATTTTGATATAGAGATTTTCCCTAAGTTGCTAAGCTTCCCAGGCTAGACTTGAACTTGCAACCCTCCTTCCTCAGACTCCTAAAGTGCTGAGATTGCAATTGTCTACTCCTATGCCCAGCTCGCTCTCAACATTCTTGATGACAATCTACTATAACCCATAGGAAATAATGCAAATGTAGACATATTTGTATGTATAGATAACACCAAGCAATACTCAATACGGTGAGTGTATAATATATTGGCAATACTATTTGAAATGTTCTATTTTATTCTAATAGAGTTGATTTTATTTTTTAAAATTAAAATGTACTATATAGGTACAAATTTCCTATGATGAATGTTGTCATTATGTATACCTAAAATGTACCAATAAATGTTTTGCTTCAAAAACAAAAAAATTAAAATATGAATCATAAAATTGATTTATGGCCCACAAACATGTCTCCCACTTGTAAGGCATTACATCAGAACCATGTTTTTCAAACATAGGGATTGATAAGAACTAATGAAATAATTATATTGAATATCAGAAAAATCTATTTTGAGACAAAAATTGTTACTCAAGATAAACAAATGTCAGTCTCTCAATGAAACATATATATTTACATTAAAAACATAACTCCAAATACATAAATTAAAAATATATTTCAGCTGCAAATATACAGAGCAAAAAATTAGGGATAAGAAGGAACTCTGCAAACTTGGTAGAGATCATCTATTAAAAAAAATCTAATGTCATACTTGATAGATTAAGAACAAAACAAGATTTTTTTTTTTGGTTTTGGTTTCTTATTGTTGTTTTTCAACAGGATCTTGCTATGTAGTTCAGGCTAACCTTGAACCTAACCTACAAGGTAGCCCAGGTTGGCCTTGAACTGGCAGTGATCCTTTTGACTCAGCTTCCCAAATGGCTGAGATTACAGCCATGCACTACCATGCTGGCTAAGATATCTTCTCTTGCTCTTCTGTTGAGCATTGTACTGGAGGTTATAACCAGGGCATTTAGTACAGAAAAAACTAGAAAAAAAGCATTCAAATTGAAGGAAGAAGCAAAACTATCTCTATTTGTGACAAGATCATGCATGTCTCCTATGGAATACATGTGTGCACATAAGCAGCAGTACAAAAGAGTTTTGTGGTGGGACACAAAATCAATCTATAAAAATCCAATTATATTGTTATATACTGACCATGAAAAATGTGAAAAACAAACTAACAGTACAATTTCATATACAATAACATCAAACATAATAAAATAAATGGATGCAGTGACATACCTATTTGGGAGACTGAAACACAAGTATCACTTGAGCCCAGGAGTTTGGGGTCAACCTGGGCAACACATCCCATCTCAAGAATAAGTGAATAAAATAATCAGCAATAAATTTAATAAAAGATATGTCAGACTTGCACATTGAGAACTATGAAACATTGTTGAAAGACATTAACAAATACTTACATAAGTTAAAAAGCATCTACGTTCATAGCTTTGAAATGTAAGTATTGTTAAATGGTGCTATCCACAGGTGTCGATCTGCAGATTAAACATAATTCTTATCATTTTCCTAGTAGATCAGTTAATCCCAAAATGCATGTGGCAATGTAAAGGATCAAATAACTCAAACAATCTTTAAAAAAATGAAGAACTTAAATTTGCAATTTCCAAACTTACTACAAAACTGCAGTGACTTATGCCATATAATAAAGACATAAAGATAGATATGTAGACCCCTGAGAGAGAATTGAGAGATAGGAGTAAATGCAAACATCTACAGCCAATTGATTTTTGATAAGCATGCCAAATAATTTAATGGGAAAGACTTGAACATATGCCTAAACAGCAGGATGTCCATATGCAAAAGAGTTAAAACCCTTAAAACTATATATAAAAATTAACTCAAAATGTATCAAACACTTACATACAAGAACAAAAACAAGACTTTTAGAAGATGATGTAAATGTAAATATTGATGATTTTGGATTATGCAGTAGATTCTTAGTTATGACAGCTAAAGCACAAGCAACCAAAGGGGAAAAAAGATAAATTGGGCTTTATAAAAATCAATTACTTTTGTGTATCAAAGGACATTATCAAGACAGAAAAAAGACAACCTACAAAATGACAGAAAATACAAAATACAAAATGACATAAAAATACTTTCAAACCATTTATTTGGCAAGACACTTTTATCTTGAACAAAGAATACTTTCAATGCAATAAAAAGAAAAATTATCCCATTTTAAAGAATTTGAATAGATATTTCTCCAAAGAAGATAAGTGGGCAATAAGTACATGAAAAGATGCCCAGCATCATTACTTGTCAGTATAATGCACATCAAAATCACAAAAAGACACTACCTCACACCCACTAAGATGACCAAAATAAAAATGAGTATGTGTAGAGAGTAGAAGTCTCATACGCAGTAGGTGGGAGTGTAAAATGATGGAAACACTCTGGAAAACAAGTTTGCAGTTTCTCAAAAAGTTAACCATAGAGTTACCAAATATTCAACCTCTTTCAGTCCTAGAGAGAGAATTGAGAACATATCCACATCAAAACTTATACACAGATGATCACAGCAATATTATTTATGAGAGCTCAAAGTGAAAACTACCCAAGTATCACCAACTGAATTAAAAGATAGAAGTAATGAGATATATCAACACAGTAGCATATTACTCAGCCATAAAAGTAGGGAAGTACTGATATGTTCTACAGTGAATAAAACTTGAAAACATGCTTGTGTAAGACACCAGATGCAGTGGTCACACACTGTATTGACTTCACGTATATGAAATGTCCAAATTGGGCAAGTTTGTAGAGACAGTGATTTCCTGGTATGGGAGAGGGAGAAATGGAAATGGCTGCTAATGGCTATGGTATTCTTTCATCAGTAATGAAATTTCTAGATTTAGATAACGCTGATGGTTGCTCAAGTCTGAGTATATATTAATACCACTGAATTGCACATTTAAAAGAATAAATAAAATTAAATATATTCCTTCTTAAATATTGCCTTAGAGATTCTTAGTTAATAGGAATGGAACCCAAGAACTCCAGATTATTTTGTAACACTTGGTATTAGCCACAATCTATGAAACAATATGTGGAAATTATTTCTTTTATAAATTTAAAAGTAGTAAATTTAAACATCCACTTTTGAAAACAGGCAATCTAGTTCCATTTTTTTGAATTCCCATCATATATAGCCACCAAGGCTTCAGCAGACTTTGTAGGTCAGGTCTCAGGTAGGATTCCCTGCTGATACGAGGTTGATTTTATTTAATCTTAATAGAATTTATTTTATTTAATCTGAACTAAAATAAATATTGAAATCATAACGTGAAATATCTTGAATTAATTTCTTTTTCTTTTGAACCACAAGAACTCAACACAAGATTTTCTTTTTATAAATCTCTACTGGAGGAGGAAAACCTTTCTTTATTTGTCTCTTCCTGGAAGTTGAGAGAAAAGGGCTTTTGGGTTGCTTATGGCTCTGCCATTCTCTGAACTTTATTTAAATCTATAAAACACTAGGAGTGACACTCAGGACTCAGTTGCATACAAAAACTTAAGTGTAAATTTCTGGATATCAAAACAAAAATAATAAATTGTTAATAAGGTATTTCTTAGCAACATGGGCATTTTCGTATCTATGTGCTTGCAATTCCTTAAACTTAAAGATAGTCATTGTGAAATACAACATTATCACTATTTACCTTAAGAGACCTTTGCTAAAGGAAAAAAAAGCCTAAAGGCCACATGCAGTTGTTCTGTGGTAATTCATTATTATAAGTACTCTTCAAACATTTATAAAATGTTGTATTCTTTAAGGAAATCCAGGTTCCATGACTCACTTACCATGACAAATACAAAATTTATCAGATCTCTGGTTGAAAGTTGAATGAAGAGAAATGGTGGAAGCATAATTACTATAGACTGGGTTATTTTTTTTCCCCTCTGTGGTACTGGGGATTGAACCCAGGGCTTTTATACTAAGCTACCTCCTAAGTCCTTCGAGGTCAGCTTGGGTTCCATAGTAAGACCTTGTCACACAAAAGAAAGAAAGAAATGAAAGAAAGGAAAGAAAGAAAGAAATGAAAGAAAGGAAAGAAAGAAAGAGAGAAAGAGAAAGAGAGAGAGAGAGAAAAGAAAATTGAATCTGAGAAGTGTCAGGATTGAGAATAGTCAGATCTAGACATTGAGGATAAAAATCAGTGAGTAAATCAAAGGCAGCTCAACATAGTCGTTGAGTACCCCTTTGAAGTAAAGTAGACCTTACTATATTTGTTACCTTAAGCAATAACAATAATAAACATAATAAAAGTTTACAGTAGTATGTGCAAGGTATTGCACTAATCTTACTGTAAACAAAATAAGAGTATTATCTCCTAAGGAGAAATTTAATGCATTGAAAAGCTACTATGTTTTAATATTTTTCAAACCTTATTTTTTCATCTCTGAAATGGGGACAATTACGATTTAAGAGGATTAAATAAATTGATATGTAAACAAATCCCCTTAGTTTATTGTTGGTAAATGGTACATATTCAAAAAATGGCACACCTAGAGCTGGACATGGTGCTGCACTCAGGAGGCTGAGGCAGGAGGATCACTGTGAAATTGAGGCCAGCCTGGGCTACATAGTGAGACCCTGTTTCAAGAAAACAACAAAAAATGAAACAATTTTGTTATTTTTAAGAACATGTTGCACGATCCATTTCATCTTCGTATAACACTTGCATTTCTTTTGGAACACAGGACCCCCTGGACCAGCTGTCCCTCCAATTACAGGTTACCCAGGAGGCTTGTCTATGGGATACTACAGTCCACAGCAGCCCACTACTTTTCCCTTATATCAGCCAACTGGTAGTACCCAGCCTGTCCAATATCAGCCTGGCAAATATCCTGCACCGAATCAGCTCGCTCCAGTAATATGGATGCCAGGGCCAACTCCTATGCTGAACTGCCCTCCTGGTCTGGAATACTTAGCTCAGGTACTCCACACAAATCCAAATTGTTTTCTTATGAAGTAGGACTACAGAGCTCTAAGAGAAAGAGGCAAATGTTTGGGTGGAATGAATCAGGATGAGTCAGTGATGACAGAGGTCTAGTTTATGAGACTGGAAGAATATGAAGAAGGAAGAGTGGGTGTAGGGGTGTTTTTAATGGGATGAATATGGCCTTCATAAAGCAATCAGGTTGACTTTCAAGATAGTCACTGCAGCAAACACATGTTCTTCTGATATATCAGCCAGCTCTTTGTTTATTAAAGACAAACTGGATGAAAGCGTTTTTCTTATCTGAACAACTCTGCTAATATGCATCTGATCAGAGGCAGATAAGCTAATTTTTATTGATAAATTTTTTATTCCATTCAATTTCAAAGAGGTTTTTTTGAGTATCTGACACATTGGCGAATTGATTATTAGTCTCTCTTCTAATGTCAATTAGATTTAATTTCTTTTATAATTGCTTTTGTTTTATCCCTACAGTTGGACAACATACATGTTCTTCAGCATTTTGAGCCTCTGGAACGTATGTACAACTTGTTGTGTTCAGTAGAATTCTCATCAGGTGGAAATTTCCTTTATCTAATATCTAGTTCCTTCTTTATATTGATGGAGTTTTAGTGGTTCAAAGAAATAAGAGTATATTCTATTAGCCTGCCTTCAGGAAATCAATAAAGCAAATTATTTTGTATAATTGTATCTATCTATAATATACTCATAAGCTCTTTGACTTGGAAAGTCTTACCCTTTATCTGGTCAACACACCCTACCCTTTACCCATTCTTCCTACTCCATATTTACCCCTTACATATGAGTAAAGGAAGAATCCAAGAGACTAAATGAATTAGCCAGGGGCAGTATGGTCAGCTGATCAGTAGCAGACCTGAAAATAAATCTCAGTCTGCCCTTACTTTGGAAGTAATGAGAAATGACAGTCAAAATAAATGATGCCTGGTCTGAGTTCATCCTTACAGGAAACAGACCTTATCGGTACTACCTTTGCACATTCTCTTGGCTACCACACTGGATTTTGTTGTTTCTTGACTTTTCTTTTTTTAAAAAAAGTCATGACCCTAGTCATTTCAGCTTATTTCATGAGCTGATTAATTTGTACTTCAGTGTATAATTTCATTTAGATGTTTTTATAATTAATGATTTCTTAATGCGGATTTTTTAAACTGTTTACCAGGAAAAATTTTTAAACCTTTTATGTGGGAAAGCTTTCAAAATAATTGTACAATGATCTTCTAAAATGTCCCCAGTTTCTAAAATTGCTTACTAATTGTAAGCCATATGAATTTTTCTGGGCATTCTAATCAATGGCATTTATTGCACCTTAATTTTTTTTTTTTTTTTTTTTTTTGGTGCCAGGGATCAAACTCGGGACCTTGTGCTTGCGAGGCAGGCACAGTGCCTCTGAGCTAAATCTCTGGCCCCTGTACCTTAAATTTTTAAAAATCTATTTTGCTTTAAGCTTTAAGAAGTACTCAGATACTTTTTTAAAAAAAGAACAATGACTTCTTGAGGCCCATTTTTTTTTTTTGCTTAAATTCTTTTATTGGTACATTTTAGGTATACAGTACATTTACATTTATCATTGGGTACTTGCACCTGTACATGATGTATCTTGGTTCTTATTTTTTCCCCATTCCCTGTGCGGCCTTCACCCTCTCCACCCTTCCCTATTTGCAGACTTTGTTTCCATTTTTTCCTTTTCTCATAATTTTTGCTTTCCTTTCTTTTCTTTCCCCTTCCCCTCCCACTTCCCCTACCTCTTTGGACCTTTTCTTCCTATTTCAAATTATCAATTATTCATTTTAATCCTTATTTACACTTTCAGTTTCTCACACCAGAGAAATTATTAGGTATTTACACATGTGTGTCCTATTTATTTCACTTAAGAGTATGGTTGAGGCTCATTGTAACTGGTTCTGATTTAAGAAATTTCTGTCATTTTATCTTCTAGTGATGACACGCTTTGAAATTAATAACAGATATGATATTAAAAATAACACAGACCAGATGGTTTACATCGTAACTGAAGACACAGACGACTTCACCAGGAATGCCTATCGTACTCTGAGGCCCTTTGTGCTCCGGGTCACTGACTGCACAGGCCGAGAGATTATGACAATGCAGAGACCTTTCCGATGCACCTGCTGCTGCTTCTGCTGCCCCTCAGCCAGGCAAGAGGTCAGAGAATGGAAGTCTAGTCCCATTTCTTCCTGATCCAACCCTTCATAGTGCGGTCATGCACCTTCCAAAACTACACAAAGAGGGAATTCAGTGGCTCTGCTAATCAAATGGAAGGAAATAATGAGGAGGGAGGAAGCCAAATCATCTCACCAAAGAGAATTATGGAAGAATTTTTTTGTGGTTTATGCTCCTTAAGTGCTATTTGGTGGGTCAAGCACAAATTAAGGTTGTTTGGACAATAATTACAATTCTGTATTTGTGTCTGCATTAATGCCCGGTCTCAGTGAACATAATCTATTTTCTCAAATTCTGTTTTGTGAATATTATTCTTGTAATAAGAGCCTCATATTTAATTGAATCTCTATCGCTAATTCTTCTTCCTTTTGTATATAGTAGGCGTTTTTTTCCCTATATTCAAGTTGGGTTTTAAATCAAAACCTATATATGCAGTCTGCTGAGATTACAGCCAGCCAAGATAGATAAAAGCAAATAAAAATGACAAACAGTCCAATTTATCAAATTTTTATCACATAACATGGCACAGATTTTTTCTAGTATTTTTGTATTTATTTTTGTGTATATTTAGTTCATACAGTTTTATCAGCTGTGTGACTTTCTGTACCCATCACCAGCATATAAATACCAAAAAGTTCTGTCACCACAAGTGTCCTATTTTATGATCACAGTCCTCTCCTCCCTCCTCATCACCTCTTCTTGCAACTACTAATCGGTCCTACATCTCTTTAGTTTAGTGATTTCAAGAATGTTATAAAATGATAAATATTACTCAGTAGATTAATATACTTCAACATCACGTGGCACTTCCATTAATATGCGCAGCTTTTATGCATCAGTTAAAATAAATTTAATCTAAATTTCTAAAAAGAATATTATAAAAACAATCACATAATATATAATCTTTCAGGATTAGCATTTTTAACCCATTGTAACAACATTGAGATTCATACAAATTGCTACATAGATCAGTACTTTATTCCTTTTTATGGCTGAGTAGGATACCATGCTATGATTTTTTAAGTAATTTATTTTTATACATTTTGATTTTTTTAATCATACCTTTAAATGTGTATGAGATGTTGGTTCCAGGAAGCTATCATATTTGTATGTTTTTGTGTAGGTGTGTGAATTTACATATATGAACATCTTGATTTCATAGCATCTAAAGCCGTGGCAATTGAGAAAGACCACTCCCATATAACTTTTAGTATGTAGTATTGTTATAACTGCTCTATTTTATTATTATTATTATTGTTGTTAATCTATTTCTCTAATTTATAAACTACACTTTATCATAGGTGGTGTATGCAGGGAAAATGTAGTATATATGGGATTCAATACTATCTGCACTTCCAGGCATCCACTGTGGGTCTTATCCAGTGGATGAGGGGATACAATATACAATTTTCAACAAGTCTCTTTCCCTTTTGTTTTTTTATAATTGTCATTTCTTGAATCTGGTTTTACCTGATTTACTGTCTGAAAAGTTAGCTTATTACTGTTTCGTGGATTGTGTTAGAAGACATGTGACTCCATGATCAGAGACACAGAACACTATAGAGCACAGCAGGAAAAACGAGCATCAGTATGTTTGTGTGGAGGTTCTGAGGGGTTGACTCAGAGAAGCTGTGTATGCAGGTGATGTTGTACATGCAGCTAAAAACACTGAGCTTGGACAACTGGCCATCTATAGCAAGCAGTTATTTCTTAATTTTATTGATACATTTTTTACATACATAATGATCCCATTCATCATAGGGAATTTGTACCTGTACATAATATATCTTAATTCTTTTCTTTCCCTTTCCCCTCCCTTTCAGTCAATCCTTTTTTCCCTCTTCAATAAAAAATTTTCAACAATAGTTTTCTTTCCATTCATTCTTATTTTTTTATCCCTATTCCCTTCCTTCTCTTCTCCCTCCTCCCTTGTTCTCCTTCCCATTTGAACATTTTCTTCCTATTTTCCAATGTCTACCCTCCATTTTGGTGCTTATTTACCCTTTGGGTTTCTCACGTAAGAGAAACAATGTGATATTTAAACATATGTGTCCAATTTATTTCACTTAAAATTATGCTCTCAAGGTGCATCCATTTACCTAAAAATATCTCAAGTTTATCCTTATTTATGGCAGAGAAGTGCTCCATTGTATATGAAAACCCCATTTTCTTTATCCATTCATCTGTTAATGGGCATAAGGGCTGTTTCCAAGATTTAGCTTTTAGGAATTGTGTTGCTATAAACATGAGTGTGCATATATCACTGTGGTATGATGCTTTTAGTTCTTTCAGCAAGATACTAGAAGAGGAATAGCTAGGTCAAATGGAACCCCTACTTTTAGTTTTTTAAAAAATCTCCATACTAATTTTCACAGTGGTTTTACTCCAACCAACAGTGGAGAAGGGTTCCTTTATCCCCCCTCTTTAGCCTTGTCAATGTGTTATTGATTGATTTCTTGATGGTAGACATTCTTCCTGGAGTGAGATGGAATCTCAACATTGTTTGAATTTGTACTTCTTGAATGACCAGTGGTGTTGAACATGTTTTCGTATGTTTATTTGCTGTTTGTACTTCTCCATCTCAAGTGTCTGTGACAGTAGTCACAAAATAAGAAAAACTTTTTACCAGCTGTTCCTCAGACAAAGGACTAATATCTAGAATATAAAAAGAACTAAAAAAAATCATCCCCCAATTTAAAGACCCAATCCAAAAATGGGCATCTGAAGCAAGCAGTTATTAAGCCATTCTTTGTTCCAAAAGAAAACATGACCCCAGCCCTCAGGGCTGCTTGCTCAACACAAACAGGTAAAATAGGAGGCTTTTCTCCCAACACTGGTTTCCTCAGTCCTTGAATTAATAAACACATGTAGGTTGTGCACCTGGGTGACTATGTGTATGCATGTGTACGACTTCCCTACTGTGTCCCTGTCCATTTGCAGCTGGAGGTGCAGTGTCCTCCAGGAGTCACCATCGGCTTTGTGGCAGAACACTGGAACCTGTGCAGGGCAGTGTACAGCATCCAAAATGAGAAGAGAGAAGATGTGATGAGAGTACGGGGACCGTGCTCAACCTATGGCTGTGGGTCAGACTCTGTTTTTGAGGTAAACGTTGTGCAAATAATGTTCCTACTATTTTTTCCTGAGAGATCTCAGAATGATCTGGGTTTAGGTAATTTTTATGTGAATTAATAAAGTAGTATGAAAAGCTGATTAACAAGTAGACACCAATTAATTTTTAAGTCACTATTAGTGGATTCTTCCGCATTTACCAAAATGTGGGCTACTTTTTCTTCATTTCAGTGCTTGTTATAGATTAAAAGGAACACTTAAAACATTAAAATTGTTTAGAGTAAATAGCCTGACCTGATTTATTTATTTTATTTTTGCCTGTACTTACTTGAACATTTTTCCAAAGTTTCCAGGATGGGAATATAGATTCTGTGCAAGTGGCCAACATATCACAGAATATACAGAATAAAAATTATTTATTTGCATGACAGAAGTATATCTGTGTTCTCAAAAAATAAGATAACTGATAATATGGATACCATTCATAACAGGTTATATTGTAATATTTCCTCTAGAAGAAAATCCTTTTCTCTTTATCAGAAGGGCTACAAAATGATTGTTTGGTAACATACAAGTCTGACAAAGGAAATTTCTGGAACTATTTCCTGAGTTTGTTAAAGAGCACTTTCTTGCAATTGCTTTTCTATGTATATTTCCAGTGATATCCAATATACTTTCCTTGGTTTTCTCATTTTATATCACTATATCATTAAACATAGGTTATTTATTAAAAGACTATTAAAAATATAGATAAGCCAAAATGCCAGGGAAGCCTGTGTATAATCATTTTCCTTGCTGAATGACTTGAGTATTTTCCATGAGTACCAGGATCTCCCTTTTATAAGCAGAAGGCTTTTATCTCCTAATATGTGGTAATGGGATGGATCTGACCCACAAAAGACTGAAGGGTGTATAGTGTACAGTACCATGCTCCCTACTTTTGCTTATAGGTTTCGCTAATTGAAAGTGACTCTCTTCCATTCTCCAATTCCCATCCTTTTCTATATGAAGAATTAATAATCAGTTCACTATACCTTCTCTGACAAGCTCCCCTTAATAAATTGTTTGAAGATGAGGAAAGTGCACTAGCCTGAGAATTGCTAAGATATATCACAGCTCAGTTACTAACCAGTTTCAAGATACTTAGTCCTTCATGCCCATAATTTCCTCATTTGAAATTAGGTAATTACTATATTCTTTTCCTACATTGTGTTTATGCTGTCACAGCATAAAACTGCTTCAAAGTGGAACTTTAAAACATGTACTTTAGTAATTTTCAATCATCATAAAGTCACATTCTTGTCATTGTAGGTCAAATCCCTGGATGGCATATCCAACATTGGCAGCATTATTAGGAAGTGGAATGGTTTGCTATCAACAATGGGAGATGCTGACCATTTTGACATTCATTTCCCATTGGACCTGGACGTGAAGATGAAAGCCATGATTTTTGGAGCTTGTTTCCTTATTGTAAGCCTTTGTTTTTGAGTTATCCTAAGAGAATCATTCCTTCTGATGAGATGCAGTATAGTATAACAGAAAGGGATGAAGTTTTGAGACTAGCCAACTCTTTGCCACACTCTCTAGATACACATTTTTTATGTTTAACATGTATGAGCCTCAATTTGCTCATGTATAAAATGGAGATTAAAAACCCTTATATTTTTCAGGATTAGCTATCGTATGAGTGAAATAGTCACGAGAGTGGTTAGAAGCTATTATGTATCTGATGGGTAAAACTGTTATCAGTTCATATTATTTGTCATTCTTATTACTTAAAAATAGCTGTCCTGTGATATTTACTGAAATAAAATAACTCTACAACTGTAATCATTTTCCCCCTTCCTTCCTGTCTTTTTGACAGTGTACTCCTTGGTACTATACCATCCTTAGGTTTATCGATTCTTTTCTTTTAATTAGTACATTTTGTTCATTGTTACTCAAAATACATTTATTCATTTTAACTAGAATTAGAAATTCTCCTGGTGATTTATAAAAAATAATATTGTATGCATTATATGTATCTATGTACATATAATTTATTTTCCAATTGCAGGACTTCATGTATTTTGAAAGATCTCCACCACAACGTTCATCAAGATAGAGGATCATGTAAGATCATCAATTAAGATAACAAAAATATTTTAGAAAATGTTACATTAGGCTTAGAGTCAACCCTCGTGTTTGGCAAGTATATTGCTCTATTTTCCAGGTTATTTGAGGGGGGATGCTTAGCTTTGACAGGCTGAGGTTTCAGTGGAAGACCACAACTAGACATGATTATCTATTTGATAGATTAGGGGTTCATTTTAAAAACCATGACCCATTAATCAAGTAAATTTATACAAAATTAGTTCTAAAACACTACAAACATGAGATAAGCAAATAAGCAACCTCAGAGTTCTCACATTAATAGGTAGTGAAATGAAGGATTGTTGTTGGGACAGAGTAACATGGTTTCTATCTGTAGTCCTTCCCCACCTCTATTCTCTATCAACATGTCCTGTTACAGAAGACAAATGTAATTCCAGGTGAAAAGAAAGAAAATGATTGTTTTTAAAAACTAAAAGGTAGAGAGAAATATTATGTTTTATTATACAGTAAAAACTTTATTGTGCAGATATTTCAGAACTTCACTCTACAAACTTTGCAAAAGTTTTGATGGAAACTTTGATTTTATTAGAAAATAAAATGTGTATATTTTTATGACAATATATTAATTTTCCACTCAAATTTCCTCACCATGTGGCATGGATAAGCAATAGCTGCCTATGTACAAAGGCAGAATCAGACTGTCAGGAAAATAGCCACCCAGAGCCACAACCAGTTGAGATCTCAGCATCCAGGGGCATCAGTGCCCTTATAAGAACCTTGCATTTAATACATTTATATATAATACATTTAGCATAATACAGAATACATTAATGTTTATTCATCACATATGAAATATATTTAGCCAAATCTCTGATTTTCTATAATCAATTGTTTTGTTTTGTTTTATTTTCAAAATTCCTGGTGACCATCAGGCTATTCTACAGGCAAGAAATTGAGCTGTTTTTGAAATGTGGTTTAGTGTAGCAGTTTATAAAAGCAAAAGCTATAGATTACAGCAATGCTTAAAACTGCTTCGCTGCTTTTTGTTTACATGTTAGAAAAGAAAATAATAAACCCCAGCAAACATGCTTTTATATGTTCTACAGGTTATCATTGAGGATTATGTGGTATCAACAGTTATAGTATCATTATGCTTATTTGTATTAACTCATTTAAAATAGTGTACAAATGAATGCACTTTAACTTACCTCTGTTGCAGTTTAGCCTCCTATGTAGATGTAGACTGTGTTCTTTAAACATACCTAGTAATTAGAATGGAATGTATTCTTCTACAGTTCATTAAATTTTTAAAAAGCTGAGTGTTCTTAGGGGGATTATTTTGAGATAAGAGCTTTAGTCCACGGGTCTTTTTGAAATGAAAGAAAGGTGCTTCATTTTTAAATTATACTAATCTTTTTATGACAAAAGTTGTTTTATTTAGTTATTTGTAAGATTGTTTTTACATGCTGCTACTAAGCTTCTTTTAAACAATATAAAAGCTGCTGCTTTCTAAAATAATTGCCTTATATTTGAAAATACAATCTTAATCAGACAGATATATTTCCTATAATGATGTTTTGGCATTTATAAAGAAAATTGTGGGTTGAGAAAGTTCATAAACTTTCTATTTTTACTTTCATATAGTCCTATATTTGAAGATTTGGATAATACTAATAGTATAAGAAAGACAGGACATTTTAAATTTCTGTTTAATATTAACATGTCTCTTGTGGTTACAGGTTTTTTCTCTAGAAATAATACTATGTGGCATATTTTATGATTTAATTCACAAAGTAATTTCTATATTTTAAACCAGATTTTATTGTCCAATATTGATCAAGTTAACTGATAAACAGAAGCTATTCTTCAAAATCTGTATGTTCTCATGTTTCTTCGTGTTCTGGCTTTTAAATAAATGTAATATGGTTAATGGTAAGATGTCTTCTTTTGGAGTTTTAATATTTTTCCCAAGAGACTTTTGAAATAATTTCTTATTGTTATTTTTTTTTTATTGGTACCAGGGATCGAACTTGGAACCTTGTGCTTGTGAGGCAGGCAGTGGAACTACTGAGATAAATCCCCAGCCCAGTTTCTTATTGTTACTAACTTCATTCAAGGCCCTTGCTTTCTTAAAGAAAATTAGTACTAATAAAGCTATTACTTTAATGTTGCATAGTCGTACCTGAACTCTTAAATAACAAGTTACTTATAAGTGCTAATATAATTATTTAAGATGCATTAACTATAATTTTAATATATTATACAAGAAAGCTGCTAAGATTTGTTACTATGTCAGTAAAGATACATTTTAAAACACTACTTTCTTTTTCTTTTTTTTTTTTTTTTTTGAGACATGGTCTTACTTTGTAGTTCAGACTGGCTTGAACTAAGTAGCTCAGGCTGGCCTCAAATTTGAGGTAATCCTTCCTCTTCAGCTTCCAGAGTGCTGGTATTACAGGTGTATACTACCATGGCCCACTTGTAAACATTTCAATGCATACTGATCCATTTTTGGAACACACATAGCAATGGAACACAATGAAATGTGTTCTCTTCAAATTCTTATTTCTTGAAGTTTTCTAAGTAACATATATGAATTTCATGCAAAAATTGAAAAAATTTCACTCTTCTGTATAAATAGGTTAAAACATTCTTCTTAATGACCAGATTTTCCAGATACTACACAAAAAGTAGGTTACCAAAATAATTTAAAAGCTGAATTTTTCAACCAACTAAATGTTAAGCTGTAGTATAAAATAAGCAGTGATTCCAGGGTATTGAATATTGCAGCTGTTGGGACAGCTGGTTACTTCTCAGTTCTTTTACCCCTATGTTCAAGGTTCAATTCAGTTTGTTTTGAGAGATGCAACACTGGAAAGCCCTTGGGTCTGCATTTAATAAACTAATGTCAAATTTAACTGTGGGGCTAGTGATAGCAAATGTTTTAAATGGATCTTTCCCCATAACTTCACAATGTATTTCCCATTTGCCTTTAGGCTTTTAAAATTGTAAATCCTGGGAAACAGAAAAGCATAATGATACATCCAACTGTCAAAGTGAGGCATCATAATATGTTACATAATACTTAACATGGCTAATAATGACAAATAGGCATTTGCTCAGTATTTGATAAATGAATAAAAGAGATATATTTTTGAAATATTTAGTATTTTAACGAGTACAAATTTTTACCATCCTTTCCACTATTTTATTCTATCAACAATCACTTAATTGAACACCTACTAAATCAAACAATGAGATATTTCTGAAAGGCAGAGGGAAATGCAAAGATGGAAAAATGCATAATTACTACTCCGAAGGGCTCACAAAACACACACCATTAAGAACTACAATGAACACTTGCCAATGGAGTGTTGGTACATTCACAAGGGGCCGCATCACAGGCACAGTTTCAGATGCTGTATAATAGATTCCTGTCACACTTAATAAAACAGGTAAGGTAGAATGATCATGTTACTGCCAAGAAACTTTTTTGGCACTGGGGAAGGTAAGATGAATTTTATAACCATGCCTGCAAGCTGAATACATGGTGAATGCAATTGAAAAGATCAGCTTAGCAAGTTTCATCAAGCAGATCAGCGATTGACTGTTTATTGCAGTAAGACATGAACCCAGGATATGCTCGACGAATAGGTGCTGAGTAAATGAATGAAAGTCCCACTATGTCCATGACACTGCTAGTGTTCAAGGAGATAGGAATGAATATGAAGTCCTCTATCCCTCAGGAAGGATGAAACTATATATTACTGCAGAACAATGCTAAGTAATTATTGCATGAAACAAATACACACTTTTTGTTTGAAAAATGCTTATTACTGAGTTCTCACAACTACATCATGAGGTAGATATCAATGCCATTTTTCAGAGGAAGAGTATACTTCATCAAGAGGTGGTAATAACAAAAAGAGAGGGTCCTAAGCAGTTTTTTTCCCCCATGCTGTTATGTAATGAAGGTAAAAGAAAAAAGTGGATAAAAGGTGACAAATTTAAAGCTCCTGGAGCAAACTGGGTGGAATTTAGGTAATAGAAGAGCCTGTAGTGCTACCAGTCTCAAAATTCTAACCAGAAATCCGAGACCTATTGTTGCCTATGGTCCCAGCTGCCCAGGGCAGGTTGCAGTGAGTGCCTCTGGTGAAGGGTAGGGTCCAGGAGGTCCTGGGGCTGGGGTGTTGGCAGTGCCTCTGCAACAGCATCCAAACAAAACAAGCAAACAGAAAATCCTAAAAACGTCCTCTATATGTAGCCACCTAACTGGTTTCTCATTACATTTTCCTGCAGTTCTTAGTTCTGCTGCTTCTCAGCAAAGGAACCAGTCATTTGAAAATATGTAAAATGAAAACGTCTTGCTGCTAGGTTTACCTCAAGATTTAATTCCAGGAATAAGGATATGGTTCTGGGCACATATGGTGAAAAACTCACTTCACCATGAGATAAATGGGATGATGTGACTAATGACCTATAACAATGAGATGGTGATGATAACAGCTACTCCTTTTTGGTGCTTTTTATATTCTGTGCATGATTCTGTGTGAACTATATCAACTCCTTTAATACTTATAAGAGGCCTATGACATAGATAGTGTGATAATTCTCACTTTAGAGATAGGAAAACTGAGGTTAGGTATTTTGCACAGGGTCATGCTGCTAAGTACATGTCCACAAAGCCATTGTTTGATGCTGGCTACACCTGAGACCACTATGCCCCATTCTTTCATGTTTGTGTGAGGTTTGGATATTTTGTGTTAACAGAAATTTAGGGAACAGAAATGTAAGAGAGTGGTGATATGTCACCTTATGTGTTTTCAAGTTTAGGATATGGCTGGGAAATTTGAGAGGCTTGGAGGAAGTTCTATCTGAGGCCTCTCCCTCTCCTCCCTCTCCCTTTCCCTCTCCCTTCTTCTCTTTCTCACTCCCTCTCTCTTCCTGTCTGTCCAGAAAGGTTTGTAGGTTTGTCCTTGCTTCTGCTAGTGCCACAGAAGTGCTTCAAATTAAAGCTCAGGTTTTTTTTGTTCCCTCAGTTTTCTGTTTCACAACATGGTAAATATAAACCTCTTAAAACTATAGACACATTTAGGTTTATGAATTCTCAGCAGTTTCCGCTTTAAACGGCACAGGTTAAAAAAAAATCCAGTGTTCCCTTATTCTGCATTTGCCAGTTTGTGAATTTTTTCTAGTTTATCCTTTGCATTACAGTGTGTTCCTTAGAGGGTTCTCATTTTCTTGGGGGTGTCTGTACCAATATTACACCTATTTAAGCCCAAGGTCTCACCTCCTGCTTCATCCAGGAGGTAAAATCAAAGTTCTTTGCAAATGAAGATTGGTGACTCTCTGCCTCTGGGAATCCAAAGAAAGTGTCACCCTCTGTTTAACAGTTGGGTATTTCAGAATTTTTCTTATTTTTAACCTCTACTAAATTCTCTTACTCTCCTGATAGCCAATATTTACATGTAAATATATTTCGGTTATTATTTAGTCAGACATTCTAGATTTTCTATAGCAAGAGTTTCAAGTTTGAAACACTGCCAGAAATGAAAGTGATGTATTTTTAAAAGCAGCACACAAATTTTAGTATGAAATAGAGGAAATTCTTTAACATAAATCTAACCATTCAAATAATTTTGAACTTTCAAATTATTACTATGTACTGTGTACACTTTTATTTTCTGTTTGAGATGATATATTTTTCTCATATTATTGAATTCTAGATTATCTTAAAATGTTTAATATTTCTTATACTGTTGTTAGGTAAAAGTCATTCATTTAAAATGATGCCAGCTTTTCTACAATCCATGTTTAGATAAATTTATTTTGGAAAATTAAAGAAACAGTCATTGCATTGAATAATTTTAGAAATATATTTGCTCAAATTGTCTTAGCTAACAGTCATTAATTTATTTGAATTTTAATATATTAGTTATTATAATATAGTTATTATAATTTATTATAATAGTTTATTATTATAGATAAAAGTTAGAAAATAGTTTTTAAAACTCCTCATTTTGCACGAATATGCAAGTGGAAGGTGGTCCAGAGAAGCAATTAGAATGAAAAAAATATTTATGTATTTTTGCTGGCTCTCTCATTACCCCCCAAATCAGAAAGCTGTATAAATGGATGTGCAATAGGGGGCAGCACCAGCTCATGGATTTCTTTAATAAATTGTGCTTTTTTTGTTTTTTGCTTTTTGTTTTTTTGGACAGTAAGTTATTGATATTAATCTATAAGTTTTAAAGACTGGAACCAAAAGATTTTATACTTAGAAGAAACATTGAGGTCTACTTGCTTTACATACTAATCTAAAAATGAAGGAACAGAGAGATCCAGGTCATATACCCAAAGTTATAGTAAGAATTAGTAGTAGTAGAACCAGTATTGAGCATATAGATCTCCATTTTTTATTCATTTCCTTGCTAACATCAAGATTTTCACAGACACCGAAAACACTCCAATATAACACCATATATACCATTGGTATGTTTGGAAAATAAAAATGAAAACCCAATTTTGAATTCCTCTAATTTTAAAATCATGTTTAAGTACACACTCAGTCTGCCCCTCAGTAAACCTAGACTGTGAAAATGCACTGTTCTAATTACACAATTCATGCTGTTCATTAGCATACAATACAAAGACCAGTGAGGATAATGCTTTTGCCCTGCTTCCAAATGAGACATTGATTTTATCACTGGATGAAGATACTTCAGAAGAAACCAGGCATCAAAAGTCATCCATTTCAATATTCTGGTGGAAAAATCATGAAATTTATTTTTTCCATTGCTTTGTTAGATTTATCATTAATTTGTATTCTAAGAAGTATGAAAGAGCAACTTGTTCCTTCAACAAAAAGAAACCATTGAGCTTGTTTGTTTGTTTGTTTGTTTGGAGTTGGCATCATATAGTCAGTTCAAACCTTTG